AGAGTAGAGAGAGAGAGAGAGAGAGAGAGAGAGAGAGATTATTAAAATCTGGACATTTCATTTAAATCCAAAGCAACAAATGGAAGAAAGAAACTTATAATTCAAAATGCAACTTAGAGCTAAATCGCCCCAAATGACTCTTATCAACGACCCTAAACGACCCTTACTAACCAAGGCCCAAAAATCGCCCCAAAGGACCTTTATCAAAATTCAATTAAGTTGTTTTCTAAAAATATTATATATTAATAAATATCTATCTTTAAAAGGTATTTTAGAGAGAATCCTTTTTCAATAGATTTGAATGAAACTTCTTTAAAATTAAATGTCAAGTAATAATGCAAAAACTACAACTGAATTTTCGTGGATTGACATCTTCCTGGAAATCCAAATAGTGGACAGGACTATCCATGTTTCTTATCAGGTGCTATCCAAAACAACAGATAGCCCTATCCCAGGGACAGACCAATTCCAGGAGCAGCCAATTCTAGTATAAGCCAATCCCGGGCATAGTCCAATCCAGGTACCCAAATGGGCCCCAAGTTCATATTTCATTCCTTCTTTTTTTTCTTTTTTGTTCCTCCTCTTATGTGTATGGACTATGAAGTATGGTGTGTATAGACTATGGGCCATGAGTTATGTCTAGTAAGTATTTCTTTTAATACGTTAGTAACTAATTGTCCAAATCTCAATTATTTTGGACCTCAATATGTATTTTTTTAACTGATTGTATGGAGTATGGACTAATGATATAAAGCGTATGGACTATGGATGGACTATGTGTCATGCATTCTTAATGTGTGCAGCTATTCTTAATGTGTTATGCCTCAATATGAATTTTTTACACAAAATTTGAACCTAAAACAAATGGATCAAACACCTTTTAACCTTGTTCTTCAACCTGGGCCAAACAGGCCACCACCTAGGCCCTGAGCAGCTAGGACCCCTTAGCCACCTAGGTGCTGCCCGGCATTTTTTGGAACATTAGAAAGTAGTGCCCATAGGCCAAATAAGGGGACTCATCCTAGGCGAGAGAAAATAGAAAAGTCATTTTAACTCCATCCAGTACAAATGCACTTTCTGCAGAGATAATATACACATCGACCAAACAGGCAGCATAATGTCTCACCACCAAAGAGGCTCTATGTAGATCACAATTACAAATCAAGAAAGAGAAAAAACATGAGCATTAAACTTGGAGTTTCATAGCAGATCAACTTTAACTATCTCAACGCTAATGTGAGACAAATAAAAAATAATGCGCTGCAACTTCAACAAAATACATTTATCCAAAAAAAAAAACTTTAACAAAATACTGTCACATAACAGGAAAGTTTAAGAGCTAAAAGAATACTAGAAACTAACCTGCCAACTCTCACAAGAAAAGAAGAGCAGGCTATCTCACTGTTCAAAGAGACTCTCGGTGATATCTCAAGGGTAATAGCATCGATTTGGTAGTCTCGAAAAGCACCATGAGGAACGGTGGGCACACCAAGGGCCTATAATATGGTACAAATGCACAATCAAAAGAACTCAACCTTATATATACAAAAGAATTTCCATTATATCTGAAAGACTGCATTATGGTAGTAAAATCAAGCAACAATTTGAAGAGCTACCTGGTGATATACTGAGCTTGCAAGGACAGCTATCCCTTCAACATAATCCAGTACAGGAAGCGCAAATCTCCACTTAGGGTTTAAGCCTCCTGCAATGTTGCTCACTCCTTCTAGAAATTTGCCAACCACCTTTAGCCATAGAGAATTAAGTAAAAAAGATAACTTCCCCACTTCAACATGCAATCCATGCCTATGAACTGCCAAATAATGCACGATATTAATGAGGTCCAGATTTGGCATCTGGCCATTAGAAGACTCTGCACATATATTAACATTATCCGTCCCAGTCCCCTGTGATGTTTCTAAAACCTTAAAGACAATTGCAGCTGCCATAGTGCCAGCACGTTTAAAGTCCTCTGAAATGCCCCTCAGAAACAGAATATCCCCATCAACTGGGTGAAAATTTAATTTCTTTCTGATAAATACTGGATCATGGTACTGTTTGAGCCATTCTGCAACTGAAGCATATTCTCCAAATTTTGAATCAGCTGCTAGCCACACAATATCTTTGGCAAGCCGTGCAGCTCGGCCAAGGAGGCAGAATATTGAGTAAGCAAGGCTTACTGATAGGGCATCACTTGGTTCCATTTTATCTGAATTGTAATGTGAAACTAACACAATTGCTTCCTTTCCATCACCATGAGGAGCTGTTATGATGCCCGTTGAGTTAACGGCACGTGTAGAAGAATGATTGTTATGATCCTCAATGATCCTTAAATTCGGCTACGAGGATATTCAATAGATTTATTGAAAGCCATTTCATGTTTGATCTTCTTATTTTTGGGACGATCTTTACGTGGTCGAATTATAGTACTACTAATCTATCCATGTACAAACTGGATAGATTTTTAATCTTCGTGGATTGCGTAGATGTATTTCCTTTGGCTTTTGTTCTAGCTTTACCTAGACTTTCTTCAGATCATACCCCAACCATGCTCTCTTTAAGATTTGTTTCTGCTGGTTCCAAACCTTTCAGGATAGAAATCTGACTCGGATTTCTTGGGAAATACCATTACTTATGGTTATGTTGATTTTCTAAATACGAACCCTTGGGCTAGGTCATTATCCAACCCGTAAAGGGTGGTAATGGACCCAGACCCAGCCTAGACCTGAGGAATAGACCCGATCCAAGTTTGGGTATTGGTCAAAAAATTGGACTCAACAGTCATATCCGGGTCTAAATCTTGGACCCAAACATTATTCGAGTTTAGCTACCAGTTCGCTCTAATCCGGTTAGATCCATGTCCAAGTCCAAATCTAATAATATTTTTCGGATCCCAATATATAAAATATATTTAAATATAACCCGACCCGTTGCCACCTGTACCGACCCCTACCCAATGCGCCGGGAAACATGGTTGATGCCAACCTAGGACCCAATGCGTCCTAAAAGTAAAGTACCAATCCAAACCTGGCCAGTTGCCACCATTTAACCCAAAAATATTGCATGGAATTTGGTGCACATGATAAAAAAAACCATCCTCCTCATCTCGTACTGTCGTCTCTTTCCTACCGTTAGCAACTACTCTCTGTCTCACGCTCACTCACCCTTTCACTTTTATGATGTGACAATAGGGGTTTTCTGTTATGACATAAAAACAAACCCACATCATGGTTGTATATCTTAGAAAAAATATATCAGATTTCATGAACCCATAAGCATTATTCTTAAAAAAGAAAGGTAACAAAATGAGCATGGTAGCTACAGCATTCATAATTCATAATTGGAGCTAAGTAAAACTCAACAAACCCAAAAACAAAAATCACAAAAAAAGTAAGCAAGATTATTCTCATTTCCAGTAAAATTCAACATTTTATTCACAAATAGGAAGCAAGATTAGCAATATATCGCAAAGAAAATAGTCAAAAACCCAAATACAAAAATAACCAAAAGTAATAAGAAAACGAAAATGTTGAGTAATTCATGCACATCGTGTTCGCATAAAAAGATATAAACAAACCCACATCAAGTTGTATATCTTAGAAAAAATAAACCCATAAGCATTATTCATTAAAAAAAGAAAGGTAACAAAACAAGCATGGCAGCTACAGAATTTATAATTGGAGCTAAGTAAAATTCAACAAACCCCAACATAAAATAACAAAAAAGTAATATTCATATAGTTATCTACTCATGAAAAAAACTCCCACACCGTATGCATTGAGAAACTCTTGTAGTTTTTCAAAAAACATAAAAAATAGCCACAAGTTGCATTCATTTGCTGCTTTTCCAGTATTTTTATCTCTTTGTTTTGTTAACACTTTGCTGAAGTCATTGTTGGAACGACTCAAAAAAGCAAATTCTAGAAGTTGAAAAACAAAAGAACGAATATGATAAACTCCAGTCAGAAAGGATCAAATCAAGTAACCATAGATCGGTAACAAAAATATTAAATAAGAAGGAATTGAAATAACCAAAATGGCTCAAATAACCAAGAACCAGGAAACACAAACCTCGTAGAAACCAATTAAAAATATATCAGGCTGTCATCTTCCTGAAACCAATCGTCGTACATTCAATCTATTTATTCAAAACATGCAAACAAAGTCACCGTAAGTAGTATCCTTATTTGACCACTTTACCAGAATGAATAAGAAAAAAAAAAAAAAGATGAAAGTGAACACCAAGAACCTCTAATCAGCCAATAAGATGCAATTATGCCAAGAAGGAACTCAAAATAACTCAGTAAGATGGAATCATGTCAATCATGCCAAGAACCTTTAATTTTAATACACATGCTACAAATTAACTCAAAATATGCCAAGAAGAAAAACATGAAATGCCTAACTCGAGTAAGATGCAATCTATTAACAATTTTCACAAGACCGAATCACTTTGCTTTACCCAATGTTTGAAAAAGGGGCTCAGGAGAAGGACCTCACACCTTGCAACTCAAAAAAATTTTAATCAACTCATCAAAGTCTATGCTGAGTAACCCAATGAGCCAAACAAACACAAAAAAAAAAGGACTCAGATTTTAGTACAAACTGTTTGAACAATCAGTTTATAACTGAACTCTATTTTTTTCGTAACTGAGCTCTGATCTATTGGGCTGCTGTGAAAAATCTGTAAAATCGCCAAATAAACACAAAAAAAACTGACTCTAATTTTATTACAAACTGTTTGAATAATCAATTTGTAACTGAGCTCTATTTTTTTTGTAACTGAGCTCTGATCTTATTGGCCTGTTGTGAAAAATCTGTAAAATTGCCAAATAAACACAAAAAAAAGGACTCAGATTTTATTACAAACTGTTTGAATAATCAGTTTGTAACTAAGCTCTATTTTTTTTGTAACTGAGCTCTGATCTATTAGGCTGTTGCGAAAAATCTGTAAAATCGCCGAATAAACACAAAAAAAAAAGGACTCAGATTGTATTACGAACTGTTTGAATAATCAGTTCGTAACTGAGCTCTTTTTTTTGTAACTAAGCTATGATTTATTGGGCTGTTGCGAAAAATCTGTAAAATCG